CTGCGTATCTCAGGAAAAATCCATATGTTTTYCCAATTTTCATGGTGCTTGCCCTCATTCAGGTCCTATTTATCTGTCTTGAATTGCAAAAGTTTCCAATTACTTCTAACTTCTGGACTTCTTTCTGTCCCTCCTCTTCTTTTCTGTGATTTTCAGTTTACTTTCTAAACTGCCAATATCATTACCTCTTGTGCTTTTGATGCTTCATCATACTTACTGAATAAACTCTGAAGTTTTTAGAGTGACAGTCAAACTCTTCCAATGACCAGTTCAAATGTATGAGGACATATTTCCTTGCTGCCATTTTCCCTATTCTGGCCCCTGTGGTTTGGTCCGCAAAGTCAGATCAGGCACACAATTAAATTTCATTGTAGCSGAGGAAATTTCAGATTACAAACTAGGTAATGCTGTAAAACAGTGTGTTATTAGTCTGCTAGGAGCACAGTAACACAACACCACATATGGGGCTGCTTACACAACAGAATTTTATTTCTTCATTGTTCTAGAGTCTGAAAGTCTAAGAGCAATATGGTGGCAGAGTTAGGTTTTCCCAAGGTCTTTCTCCKTGGCTTGTAGATGGCTGTCATCTCACTGCATCCTTAGAYGGTCTTCTTCTCTGTACCTTCATGTCTCTCTTTGTGTGTCCAAATTTCCTCTTCCTAGGAGAATGCCAATCAGATTGGATTAGGTCCCACCCATATGACTGCATTTGACCTTAATTAGCTCTTATTTATTTATTTGATACTGGAGATTGAACCAAGAAGTGCTTTACCACTAAGCCACATTTCCAGCTCTTTTTTATTCTGAGACAAGTTCTCACTCAGYGGTTTAGGACCTCACTAAATTGCTGAGRTTGGCCTGGCACTTGCTAATCTGCRTCAGCCTCCCAAATCACAGGGATTATAGGTGTATACCACCMTGCCTGGCCTTAATCTTTAAAGGTCCTATCTCCAAATAATGTTTCCATGTTAGTAAGATTTTTGTTACTATAACAAATACCTRAGATAATCAACTTATAAWGAGAAAAGKTTTATTTTGGCTCATAGTTTTAGAGGGTTCAAGTCATGATTGGTTGACCTGTAGTTCTGGGGCTATGGTACCACATCATGGTGGAAGCATATGGCAGAAGTGCATGGCAGAGCAGAACTGCTCACCTCATGGCTGGAAAATGAAAAAGAGAAAGAGGAAGTGGCTGGGGTCCCACTATTCCTGTCAAAGGCATACCCACAATGACCTGAAGAACCCCCATTAGGCCCCATCTCTTAAAGGTTCTACCACCTCCCAAGGGTATCAAGCTGGAAAACAAGTCTTTAATACATAGGTTGGGGGGACAAGATTTAATACATGGGGGAACACAAAATATAGCAGTCACATTCTCTGAACCTTGATTTTAGGATGTCAACATGAGTTTTGGAGGAACATAATACATCCCTAACAAAGTTATATCACTTTCAATACTCAGCTTTGCAGAGATTCTGAGTTCCAACAAATTCCTCCTAGAAATACCTCAAAGCCCCTGTTATCCTTCTCTCTGGGTACTATATGTCCATTTTCTCATCTCAAGGCTGGGCTCTATATTGCAGCCCTAATTCAGTGGCTAGAGGAATCACATCTTTTCAGCCACGAATGGGAACACTCATCCTTTGTTCTGGGGTTAGAACTGCTCCACCTGTTGCCGCTATCCTACAACCAACACAGCTTCCCTAGCACTGCCAAAGGAGTTCTCTCTCCTTTCCCTTCTTTGTGATATTTCTGACTTGGACTCTTTTGAAGATCATTCTGAGCCATTATATTTACAACAGAATTTCTGAGTTATTAGGTTCCACTCTTGCTTGCCTCCCTACTCCCCATCTCACAAACCTTATTTCATTTTGTTTCTTTCCKTCCTTTCTCTTTCTTTTAATAGGGTCTCACTATGTCACCAGGCTGGCATGAAACCTGAGGTTACAGGCACATGCCTTTTTGCCTGACTTATGCCCTTGTTTTCTTTAAAAGCAGCTTTTAGCCAGGTGCATACTGGGAGCAACTCCCAGCAACTCAGGAGGCTGAGGCAGAAGGCTAACAAGTTCAAGGCCAGCCTGCACAACTTAGTGAGATCCGTCTCAAAATAAAATAAAAAGGATTTGGATCCGTGGTAGAACACCTGGGATTCAATTCCCAGAGCAGCAAAAATAAATGAATAAATTAAAAGCAGATTATAGAAATAACTGACTTTTTGCTATATGGCACTAAAATCTCACTTACCTCAGAGCTTCAATCCAGGTTTCGAAATACCTTATCTTTTTTTCTTATTTATTTATTTATTTATATTAATATATAACAGCAGAATGCATTACAACTCTTATTACATATATAGAGCTCAATTTTTCATATCTCTGGTTGTCTACATAGTATACTCACACCAATTCGTGTCTTCATACATGTACTTTGGATAATAATGATCATCACATTCAACTATAATTAATTACCCCAAGTTCCCTCCCTTCTCCTCCAACCCCTCTGCCCTATCTAGAGTTTGTCTATTCCTCCCATGCTCCCTCTCCCTATCCCATTATGGGGATATAGCTCAGTTGGTAGAGCGCTTGTCTTATGTGCATAAGGCCCTGGGTTCAATCCCCAGAATCACATACACACAAAAAGGAGGGAAACTGCCTCTGAAGAACATAAAATTGCCAGATACCTTATCTTTCTAATCAGAAAGTCATAAAGATCATCTTTTCTTTTCTCTTTTTTTTTTGGGGGGGGTAGAGTGGGGTAGGGTGGAGGGTTGCTGGGGATTATATCCAGGGCTTTGCACTTGCTAGGCATAGAGCTACTTCTCCAGCCCCTTAAAGATCATTTTCAGTGAAATAAGCAGGATCAACTTCCATTCAACATTGTAACTATGCAGTTTGGGGACTCTTTTTCTTCTTCCTCCTGCTTCAATTTACATCTCATGTTTTTTTGCCTGGTGCATTCTATGCTCCATTGACCATGTACAAATTTGAACAATATACTTGGCCCACCCAGGAGCTATGTCCTGGTCCTTGGCTGTGGTCTGGGAGTAGTGGTAGCTGCTCCATAGGTGTGAGTGGCAGAGTGATGCAACTTGCAGGCAATGGCAACAGACTAGAGGAAAAGATTTAGAGACTGGTGGTTCATGTCTTGGGCTATCACAGGTATAAGTTCAATGTCCTCTCCTGGTGGTTTGTGCAGGTGGATGTGTAAAGAATGGGCAAAGGGGGCATTCGAAAGAGTTTGTTCCAAAGAGTTTGGTTTTTGCTTTGTGTTTTAATTTGGCTATTGTGTATATATTTCAAGTGGTTATTCAAAAGTCCCATCCTAAGACTGAATGTTCCTAAGCTCAAGTCTAGTTCCAGTCTACCACAGGAAAAGCCAAATTCACTTCTCAGGTACCCTGAGCCCCACATTAGACAGCAACAGCATYTTTGCTTTATCTTTGCTTAGTTGAGATTTGATGATTTACAAAGTTAATACTAATATTCAAGCTAGCAGGTAAAGCTAAAAATGCTGAAGTTGGGGAGCCAGCCCATTTGTAGATAGGCTGTCATATACATGAYAGTGACTCCCTTAATTATTGGATTAGCAGTGAAGAAAAGGAGCTGTGAGTTAAGGTAAATGGATCTGGTTTAATCCTAAACCCTACCTCAAGTATTCTCTTGACATATCTGCCAGCATTTTTCTCATTTGCCAAAAGGTAGTAAGATTCTCTATACCCACTTCATTTTTATTTTCGTAAGAAGAGTACACACACATTGTTAAAATAGTCAAACAGTACTATAAGGCTTATTGCAAAAAAAAAAAAAAAAAAAAAAAAGCAATTCCCTGCCTGTAATGGACTGTTGCACTTTCTATAGGTGGCCGCAGTGATAGCTCCTATCTCAAAGCTCTTCTTTGAGTGAGATCGTGACACTTCATAGAATTGGTGGTGTCTATATTTCCTCTTCTTCAACCTGGATGTATTTTTGTAAATGCTTAGGTTATTTAAAGTATAGCACACGTGATGCTGTGCTCTTCGAGAGTTCTTCAGAGAAACAGAATCAATAAAAGATTATCTATCTATATATCTAAAGAGATGCATTTTAAGTATTAGCTCACATGATCATGGGAGCTGAGAAGTCCCACAATCTGCCATCTGCAAGCTAGAGACCCAGGAAGGCAGCTGGTATAGATTAAAGGCCTGAGGGCAAAGAGCTAGTTACTGGTGTAGATTCAGTCTGAATCAGAAGGYCTAAGAATCAGGTGCACTGAGGGCAAGAGAAGATCCCATCTCAAGCAGACTGGCAGAGAGAGTAAATCCTCCCTTCTTCCTCTACCTTTTTGGAAGGCAGCTATGCTCAATGCCTCCCCTTCCTCCACCTTTCTTTTGTACTTGGGTCCTAAGTGGACTGGACAAGTACTACTACCACCACCACCAACACATTGAGGAGGGCAGTCTGCTTTACTCCATGTGCTGATTCCAATGCTAATCTCTTCCAGAAACCCCCAGAAATAACGTGAAACAAATATCTAGGCATACTGTGCTCCAGTCCTGCTGGTACATAAAATTAACCCTCAGAGGCGCCATGTGACGTCTTGTTCCTGGGACCTCAGCTGCCATGCTAACAGTCCAACTGCCTTGAGGTCGCTAAACTATGTAAAAGCACCAATTAGCCTACAGGGGGTGGGGGTGGGACCACATAAAGAAACCCTGAGACTACACAAAGAAGAAAAGGTAACTGGCCAGGACCTAGTTGCTCCAGCCCCTCTTGCTGTCCAAGCTCCAGATCCATTTCCTGAAATCAAAAKCAAAGACCTGAGAGACCTCCATCCAGAACTGCCCAGCAGAATCCTTCCTGAAATCCTGACCCACTGAAATTGAGAGGTTATAAATCAAACGATTGTTCTTGTTTAAAGCCACCAAGTTTGGGATTGAGTGGTCCCATAACAATAGTAACCACAATACTCACTGTTAAGTAATAGTAACCACAATACTCACTGTTAAGTAATGCATTCCCATTACATTCACCTTATTTTACTGTTTAATTTCCCATTTGTTCAATTTCCCATGTCATTGTTACTGTTTCCTTCTACATTCTACACCTGAATTGCAAAATCCCTTGCATAAGATTTTCTTTTTTTTAATATTTATTTGTTTTAGTTATAGGTGGACACATATCTTTATTTTACATTTATGTGGTGCTGAGGATCAAACCCAGTGCCTCATGCATGCTAGGTGAGCACTCTACCACTGAGCCACAACCCCCCAGCCCTTGCATAAGATTTTCTACATGGTCAAACACAACAAGAAGCCTACCTACCAGTTTTCTTTTTTCCTCAGACCTCCTACTGGGGCTATCTGGTCTGGTTTCTTTTCGGGACTGGTTGCTCTCTAGGTGCAGCTGCTGTCCTGAGACTCCTTTCCCCTCCCTCCTATGATCCATTTCCTTTTTCCTCACTCTGCAATCATCTTACTATTCCTTAGGTTACTCCTTCATTTTGGGGGAACATTGTCTCAGTGGCTCCAGAGGAAACATACCCTGGAAATGAAAATGTCCATATTCTATTCTTTCATTTGGTTACTAGTTTGATGAGGACTGGGGTTGTGGTGCAGTGGTAGAGCACTTGCCTAGCACATGTGAGACACTGGGTTCGATCCTCAGCACCACATTAAAAAAAT